ATGATCAGATATTGTTTCTTTGCACATTTAATTATTTGAACTATTGTCCAAATAATTACAGCTATATCTGTACAGCCAGTAATTCGGGGAAAATGTATTCACCTTTTTGCGCCTATGGATACAACAATTGTTAAATGTTATTGTAATTAATCGTCAAGGTTTACTTATGATCGCATAATGAGAAATGAGGTTAGGCCGTTAATCTTCACTGATACGATGATAATGTGTCATAGCGATTATAGTTTCAGTTGTGAAAATCTCTCAATAATGAAAGGACTAAGTAATGAAAAAGACTAATTTGTTGATGATGAAAAGATACTTAGTATAAAAGGAAAAAAGCCAATTTAAGAGAAGAATTTAGTATACGGGAGGAAAAGGATAGGATATTTTGGCAGCGATTTTCTGACGGCTAGTCGACAAGGGTAGAGCCAGTAATCCCATGTCGGTTAATCTCCAGGCATTATCGTGGCGCTTATCGGTGTTGCTGCGGGTCGCCAAATGACCACCATTCACTGTATTTTTCATCGCCATGCTTGTTACATCCCTTGGAATGCTGGGTATTAATCTTATTATATAAACTAACATTGTTTACTCTCTCATTTCTTGCATAATTCATACATGGATAACTGGTAAATAAACTTGTTCCTACTATTCTACAAGTAAAAACACCAAGGATTCTGGACGTGTTTACAAATTAATCCTAACCACAGACTAAAAATGGTTTTTGAAAATTAGTATCCACCCTAGTAATATTTTAACTCGCCAATCAAAATAACTAACACTCAAAATTTGTGCGTGCTAACAAATAGTCCAAAAAAACTACATTTTACCATGCCATTGTAATCCCTTGAAACTAATTATACCACAGCTTGACAGTATAATCCTTATAAATGCAAACTATTTATTAAGGCAAAAGTATCGTACTCATGGTTTCATACTTATTATTCAACAAGTAGAAGGAAAAAAATCAGATCAACTCTATACAATTAAAACCTATAATAACGATAGTTATTTAGTCTAGAGTTATATTAGTTATCAATAATCTAAATAGTTTGAACTAAATGAAAATTTAATAAACTCTGAAATTTTTAGAGAAATCAGAATATTATAAATATATTGTACCCAAGGCACCAAAAACCTAAATACGCCTCTGGTATTAGCTATCCATTTTGTTAATATAAATCTTCACTTTTTGTGATTTATACATTACATACAGTACACGTGCTGAAATGATGCACGTTCAACCCTCGCCATTAACTTTTAACTGCGCATTAGCAAGACGGTTTAAATATTTTAAGGGTTGTCGTATATGTTGGATAATAGGGCATAAGCCTTGTTGAATTTGGTACAACTTATGCTAGTAAATATTTGTAATAGTTATAGGACAACCGAAAAAAAATGTTCTAAAATTTATAAAATTGTCATCAACTATGAATAACACAATCAAATATTTATTGAACTTCAATAAATAAATTACACGAAAAAAATATATTTATATTAATTTTATTTAGTTTGAAATTTATATTTAATAATTTAGTATTTTAGTCAATACAAATGAATCATGAAAAAAAAAGTTCGATTATTCTGATCTCGTTATTTAATTATAAAATTTGTTATGAAATTAAAATTAAAATTCTAATTTTAATCTATTATCAACCATTTTTAGCTAAAACAGTTTTTTTTTGGAAAGAGAAGTCTCTTCTTTTTAATAAACTTATTGGATGAACATTGAATGCTACAAAAATCTTTCTTGGAAATATTTATAGTTAATACTTAAGTCTTATTTCTTTTTAAATAAGGCTTGGGTTTAAATAGGGGCTCTTATCACCCTTCTACCCAACTATACTTAATTATATTAGTTGATGTTTTACAAAAAACAAATTAAAAAAATAATAAAAATTAAAACATAAACAAAAAAATTTTTTTTATATAGAGCGTTCAGCAAGTAAGGAAACAGGTTTTTATTATTCTCATTGTTTGTAACAATTGACCTGTTTCTTTACTCATAGAACACTCGATATAGAAGAGAGGTTATCGGACTATTTTTTTTTTTACTTTTATTATATTATACAAGTAATATAACATATTTTCTTTAATATATGTTTCAAATATGCAAGATTTTCAGGAAATAATTTACAAAAGTTCAGTTGAAAAAAATCTACTTTTTATACGTATGTTACAAGTTTTAAACCCCTCTGTACAAGATTTTCAAAAAAGTTATAATGGTTTTAAGTAAAAAAGTTTAAATATATAGAAATTTGCCGATTTAAAAATAATTTTAAAAAACATGATTTCTGGGTGATTTTACTCCCTATTTACGGGAAAAAAGGATTTTTTTCAATTTTTAAGAATTATGTTTTTAACTAGATATGATTTATTTTTATGTTAAGTAAGTAAAATTGGTACAGTGAGAGCTGAGAAAAAATGGTGACTTACATAAAAAAAAAATAAATAAAGACAAACACATCAATTAAATTAATACTTTCTCAGCTTTACAAAGCTAAAAAAATTATCTAACTACTATCCTTAAAAAATGCAAACGTACACTGAACTCTATTTTATATCAAGCTATTTATACATTTAATTATAATTTATAATAAAATATAATATTTATGATTTTATATGAATTTTATTTTTAATATTTTAAGTATAAAAAAAAATATATAAAAAACAAAAAGTTATTTATTCTTAACATTCCAATAGTTTATAAAAAAATTATAAAATACTCATAGGTCTAATGATCATAGAAATCAAATTTATTTAACACCGCAGAAGTTATAAACGATAATTATCCACCAAATATAGGAGTAGTATGAAAACTCGCTTTGTCAACAGTTCACATTGGATTAATATTATTAACGATTGAGATGTTAAGCGAAACAGATGGAGAAAAAAACTGAAAGATTTAAACGTGTTTGTTTAGTCTTAACACAGGGCTACTCGATTTAAAAATAATACACAAACAATATATTATAAGATTATAAAGACACAACCGCACTACTTAGCATTCTACGACATTCCACTATAGCACCGTCCTCTTCTCTTTTTATCTCAGCCTATGTCACCCACGGCTTGTTAAAAACCATTGTGTGTAAAGCCGCTAATAATAATAAAAAATAAATACTAAAGGCGATAAATTTAAACCGGTGCACTCGATTAAAAACCGAAATACATAATCGCGATACTTTCTCTCAGTTGTTAGTAAATTTTTTCATTTTTTTCCATGCGCCTAAGACGACATTTTTCTGTTTGTCTTTTAGAATGAACCGAGTGCCGACAGATACACACTATGCAAATACAATAAAATGGATATAACATAATCAACACACACTAGTTGCTTGTCAGGTGTTAGTGGTCGTTCATCAATCAACTCAACGAGACGTTTGTTAAGAGTTACAAGTCTTGTACTTGAATATTTTTTTCTTGACCACTTACGGTAAAATGTCTGCTTCTATACGTTGCATTATTACACTTATAAATTCTTTTTTTTTCATTGAACATCAATTACAGTATTATAAATTAATACAATATTAAACTTTTGTGCTATAACATTAACTAAGACAGTAAATATTATTAAAACCCACCAACATGTAAAAATTGAAAAAATTACATTATCTTGTAAGAAGTGTATGATAATTAGTGAATATTGTATTTTATAATATTTTCATCAAATATAGTTATTTTTATTTGAAAATCTGGCCTATGTACTTGTTTTATAATATATAATAATTTTATGTGAGACCGTAAGTAGCCTATTCAACAAAAATTTGGATAATTTAGCATTATTTGTTTTAGAAAAAAGCCTATATGTGATTCTTTAGATGTCTTTGAATTTAACATTAACCAATAGTAAAAGTAATTTCGTCTTTTAATACTGTATTCATTGGTACAACATTAAAAGCAATTAAAAAATGTATATCCCATGTACTGTATTATGGTATTGGCTACTAATCCTCTCAGTGCCTCAATTATGATAAAATATAAAAGACATAATGATCAAAATAATATTGCGAATAGATAAATCAATTGCATACATACGTTTTATATAGTAAAAAAATCACCGATTTGCAAAACGCTGTCTAAATAATTCTCATGAAACTTATTATTACTTTGAAATAATGTATAAAAATACTTTTTACACTAATTAATTGTGAAATGAAGATAGAAAAATGTTTTTTTATATTATTATCATCATCGAAATGAAAATTTATATCAATAATTAATACCTACTCAAAATATTTACCTCTTGATACTTGTTAATAATTATTATCTATATTATTTATCACTAAAAAAACTTTATTAAAAAAATTACCATTGCCAAGTAATTAAAATAAAAAGTTTTTCCATGTTATTAAAAATGGAAAACTAATAGTTTTACTTTAGTAATAATTGAACGTTCACCTTCGTTACTTTTCAGTGAGAACATTTAGAATATTATAAATATAAGTTATCATATTGAGTCATTATTTTCATCTTGGGTCAACCTAGAAGTTTAACCAAACTTCAAAATGTTTTATGCCCACAATAGAATAATGTGCGGTTACGACCCTTCACATTAACTACCTAAGTGTTGGTAGAAAACTAACTGAGCGTTCATGTATAGGTGAATCGTACCCGAGTAATATAGTTTGTCAAAGTTGACGCGCTCAACACAAACTTTAACGATGGACCATCGGTACATGTGTTACATTACTAAGAATTTCGTATACAAAAGTCATAACGCTTGTTAGTTACTATTCTACCTACCTAGTAATCGTATAGTGAAATATAGTACGACGACAACTTAAAGCGACTTGTTAACAAGAACTTTTGACGATGATTGTAAACACAGAACAACCCTCAAAGTTTTTGACTTATATCTCGAGTAATAAATAATAACTCTTTACACGCTGTGGGTCTAATACACAATTAGATTACGCTCATATTATATAAATTCTGTTAAAAATATAATATAATATATAATGGTTGGGGACCATAATTTAGATATAAAATCTACTTACTTTTAATGTTTCTCCCATCCTCGGATACAGTCCCAGAACTTGGCGTGTCTCTATCTGAAAATTCTTCTTTTGTTGCCGAAGAATTCTGCTGTTGTGGTAAAGATGTTGGTGAAGCAGACATACTAGCTGGTGAACAAGGACTTCTTCTAGGATAAGGAAACGTTGGAGGCTGTTGTTGGGTTGATACGCCACCATCAGGATGAGACATTGCCGTTGTTTGTTTGTTATCGTCTACTTTGTAGCATTTTGACGGAGGAGCAAAAGCAGACGCAAAACCCTTAATTGCCGGATGATGAGCAGGACTCGAATGCTGGTGATGGGGATTTGGTGAACTTAAAGGCTGAAATACACTAGCAGCTTGTGAAAAAGATATACGAGGGTCTAGCGCTGGATGTAAAAACTGTGGTTGCAAATGATGTAGCAAATGAGCTGGTAATGCCGAATAATTTTCCATGAATCTAAACCCAAAATTAGTGTTTTGAAATGGCAAATGAAGGTGCTTGAGGTCATGCATCTGTAAAAATAATATATATTATTTGTTAATTTATCTAATGTAATTTATGAAAAAACGTTTTCTATCAAAATTACGAAGGCTTTTATGTAAACAGTTTTTCAAGGTTATACATCGACAAATTAAAAATTATGACACAATGAAACATGTTATATCTGATTTTTTTCTTAAGTGTATAATGATTATATTTATGATAAATACCAATTATTAAATGTTTATGTGAATTACTTAAAAAAATCATAAATAAAATTTAATTTCAATAAGTCTAATTAAATTAACACATTTTGGATGTTTTACCTCGAATCTTTCTAAGGAACCATAGGATAATAACCTAGAATTTGTTCTTAATAATTAATACTAATTAAACTATTAACAGATAATTGTGTTAAGGAGACAAATGGGGTGGGATCCTCACTAGTCCCATCATAATTAAAAGGATGAACTTTTTTAGCTTTGTCACAAAGTTGAGAAAGTATTAATTCGATAATGTAGTGTTAAATTATACATATTTTTATTGTGTGTGTGTTCGACACCATTGTTTTTGAGGTCTCACTTGCCTGTCCGCCCATAGGAGTAAGATTCAAAGTTGCAGTTCTTGAATGAAAAGTTAATATTTTCAACTTTATTTTTAAAAATATTTGAGAAATACTTCAAACTTTAATTATATGTTTAATTAAAGCTTATTTTACACACTAGAAGTTAAAAAAAAAATTATCCCGTCACCAAATCTAATATTTGTAAACATCATCTGAAGTTAAACCAAAAAAGATATTTTGATGTAAAAAAACATTATTTTCTATTTTTTTTTTTTATTTGGCAATTATTTATGTATATATATTTGCTCAACAACATAGTCATATAGAAAAGTGGTGGTAGTTACTCTCGTTTAACATCCCCATTTACAAAAATAAATAATTTTTAAGTGTTAATTTTAAATATTTTTGTGAAAAATTTTAATAGTAATAATGTAAATCCATTAAGTATATTAGAAGGAATGAGGCTATTCTTACCAAAGGAAAATGTTCTAGCTACCAATGGCTTATGATAAATTACAACTTTATATTTTATAACAGAAATTATAATTAACTAACGAAGGTCAGAATAATTGAATTCAGAAAGTTAAAATTATTTTTTTTGATAAATGCATACTCATTTTGATAAACGTTAGCCATAAAGGCATTGAAATGTTCAACTACTTTATAATTTTTTATAATTTCTCTATACAAATTACAGTATTAAATTACTGAATATCAATTTTATACTGAATTCCTATAACAAGCAATTACTTCTGTATAATACTCATAAATTATAAAACTTTTAATCAGCACATAATTAAGAAAATAGGCATTGATGTGCTATATTATTGTTAAATTACAATATGCAAATTTTTACTATGGATTATTGACACATAAAAGTTGTTTCTATTTTCATATAAAAAAAAATTAATTAAATCGTAAAATTTTTTTGTAAGTACCGTAACAAAATTTTAAAAACAAAAGTAGCATTACAAATATACAATAAGAAAAAAATTAATTTTTTTAAAAATATTTATTGTTTTAGCTTCGATGCAAAGCTGAGAAGTATTAATTTTACTATGATTTTTTATTGATGTCTGTCGCTTTTTTTTAGCGCTCACCAAACCGAGTTTTTTCAATAATACGTCAAAAGATCAAAAATCGTATATAGTTGCAGACATTGCATTTGAAAATTAAAAAAATGTATCTCGTTTCTTATAAATGGGGAAAATATCCAATAAAATTAAAATTTTTGAAATTGGTAAATGTTGACATTTTTTTCCTTAAAACTGACATTACTTTTTCACTATGTACATATTTACATTGAAGCTTTTTTTATGATATTGATTTTAATCATTGTCAGATATCATCTATAGTTGTCCTAACTATGCCATGTTCACACTGTGCTACCGTTTTAATAATAAAGCAATTAAAATGAATGAATATATTTTTAAGATTATTTATTGAAAATGCACAGAAGGATCACGATAGTAGTCCATTATTTTATTTTATGGTATTAGAAGTATATCAGTAATGAATACCATTTGGTTAAACCAAATGTTTAATTTTGCTAATATTAAAATGCCTATTTAAGTTATTTTATTAAAATAATAGGATAATAATTAATAATTTTTGTTTTCCTGAAAAATTTATAGAAATGGATTACAACTGTTTTCCACTGTACTCTTCAATTGCTTTCATGTTTTAATCTTTTAATACTTAAGTTTCTCAGATTCAAAAAAACTAAAGAATAAATTAAAAGGCTAAATAATTTAGAAATATTAATTAGGATGATAGTATTTTTATATTTATAGTACGATTTATTAATTATACTACCAACAATTTTTTTGTTAAATAATGATTTTTTCTTAAAAATCCACAGATTAAAGTTTAATTTATTTTTATAAACAATTGTAAATATCAAGATAGTTCTAAGAAAAAAATATTCCTAAGGGTAAATTTTAGGATTAACTTTCGAAATTTATATGGGAACCGTTCATAATTTTTTTAACATTACATGGAAAATGGTGTAAATAAAATTTTGACAAACCAATAACCAATAAAAATTGTATTTTTACTTTCTTAGTTGTTATAAATTTTAGTTATAGGTAAGCGTGGTGCGCAACGTAGTAGAATTTATATCTGTGTTATGGTAGAAATAGTGTCGTTAAACACTACCCCGCTCCTCACCTTTTCTAAATCTTTAAATGCTAATATCTTGAAAGTAAAATGCAAAACTGGTTATCAAACATTTAACATTGTATTTAAACCATTTTCTATATAATAGTAAAAAAAAAAAAAAAACCCAGCACAGGGTGTTCGCGGCACAGTGATGTCATGGTATAGTTGGATCAAGTATAATGATATCTGACAGTGATTAAAATCACTATCAAAAATAAACGCTTCGATGCAAATCATTAGATTGTGTTTAATTTAAAAAAAATTGGTGTATTATTCCAAAAGCTACATGATCTGCTAGTTCCTTATTAATATCTCGATTAAGATAAAGTATGTCGAATGAAAAATGGATTATTAAAAAATATTATTTCTCATAAAAAATTGTGTTAATCCATACACTTTTCAATAAGTTATAGCATTATAAAGTTAAAAATATAAAAAATAAAATCGTGAATTTTCACACGAAAATAGCATTGAAAAAGTTACGGCAGTTTTTAGTAAAAAAAATTTCAAAAATTAGCGATTTTTAAATTTGTAATATTTTTGAAGGGTTGCCCCATTTACGGGGAACAAGGGAATTTTTTTCAATTTTTAAGGGTAATGTCTTCGACTAGATACGATTTGTGATCTTTTGACGTATCCTTGAAAGAAATCGGTTTGGTGAGAGCTGAGAAAAAGTGGTTACAGACACAAAAAAAAAAAAA